GAAGCGCGTACTGTAGCAACTTCACGTCAAGTTAAATAGAATGCACCACTGTACGTAATACTTCGCACATCACGCGCTGCGACTCGTCCGCTGAGCCTGCCTCCTTGACGCGCGACGGGCCTCCTGTCGGGCACCCATCGTAGCCCGTTTCCTTCCGGGGATGAATGTGGTGAGCGCTGCCTTGGTGTCTGCCGCCTCTCTGACCTCTGTAGCCTCTCGTCTTCCTGTTGTGTGGTCTCTACTAAATTTTTGCAAACTTCTTCGTGAAACTCGTGCAATACCCGCGCTTAATTTCGAAAAGGAGAACATCATCGCGGAATGAGTCTCTATGTGGACTACCTTCTCGAAAACGGTCAGTGTCTTAATATTCAGTGCTAGTCTCAAGATCGGGATAACCATTGGACTTCGGGTAGAAATACCAAGAAAAATTTACCTGTACATAGCTGCATGGATAGCATAGTTCATCCAGACCACCCAGAACATATGTGCATTGTCCTCATGGTAGTTTACAATGGCATAGTAGCCGGTCAACGCATGATGATACCTGAACAGATCGCTGATGTACTGGGGACTCGAATTTTCTTCACGAGTTTTAGTTCGAATCTCTTCTTAAAAGCAAAGTCTGGGATCAAAACTGATCTGTTATTATGCTAGTAAGTATAATGGAGACGTGAAGTGAACGTTAGTAGATAAAATACGGGAAGAAACCATAAACCAAAACCAAGGACAAAAATGAAGCTTCCATCTCCAGTAGTGATTTATGAGTGAGGGTCAGTGGTGTTGGGCGTGTTGAAGCCTCAACGTTTCGACCTTGTCAAATCATCCTGACATTGGTGCACATGCTTCTCGCTTGTCTACTACATTTCTCCAACAGGAAAACTTGATTCCTCCCGGACATCCCGGACCTTGTTAAAGGTCTAGGGTGGCCAGGTAGTGAGTCAGGGAGTGGGTGTTAGTGCAGTGGCGAAAAGGTTCCCGAACCAGTATCTTAAAGGAATCTTCCATGGACCATGGACCAGTGGGCGGGACCGCAAGTGGTTTTGCGACGAAATGCATGGTAGGTACGGAT